CCCTATCAGTTTAATAAAGAAAGAAAGAAAGAAAGAAAGAAAGAAAGAAAGAAAGAAAGAAAGAAAGAAAGAAATAAAGAAAGAAATAAATAAATAAATAAATAAATAAATAAATAAATAAATAAATAAATAAATATGAACCAAAAATTCAGGCCTCTCGTTTTTTACTTCGTAAAGCCTGAATAGCCTTTTTTTTTTTTCAAGTCGGGGGGAGCCTTCGGGGAGATGTGAGGACATCGGATGATGTTATTTAATACGGGGTGTCGATTCAGAAGAGTTGTTAATTGTTGCGCGGTAAAAAAAAAAAAAGATGATTAGGTATCGATACTTAGGTTGATGTTCTCGCGTAGGGAGGTAGGTAGGTAGGTGGCTAATAGCAGTTGTGCCTACCTAGTACTGTGTGTATATATATACATCACGCCCTCCCACACTTCCCCCCGACACAGACCAGATCATCGGAACAATCATCCCCCGTCACACACGTCGCGCCGAGACAGTGCCCGCTCCACGAACACGTCGCTGCTGGGATTGTGCTGCTCGTCGTCACCGTCGGACCCGTCAACGTCGCGCACTTCCCGCCCGTGCAGACGAGGTCGTCAGAGCAGTCGTCTGCTGTGGCGCACGCTGCGCCGAGACAGTGCCCGCTCCACGAACACGTCGCTGTGGGGGGCGCGGCGCTGGTAGTCTTGGAGGTGGTGATGCCGGTGGCGGTGATGCGTTTGACGAGGGTGTCGCCGAGCGTGCCGAGGGAGGCTTCGAACTCGGTTGCTGAGGCGGCGTTCCCTGGGTGTGGCGCTGGTTAGATCTCTCCTCTCGCTCCAGAAACTGCAACGTACATTTCGCCCCGTTGGCACCCGGCACGGCCGCCGCTCCCGTAAAGGCAATGTACAGCACGTCCGTCTCGTCGTGGCCGCTGTTCCCGTTGACGGCGCTCGCGCCGTAGCAGAGGGTCGCCATGGAGATGGAGGCCTCGCCGATCACGGCCCTGGGTCCGTCGTCGCCGTTCTCGTCGCCCCAGATGCCGTAGAACTGGTTGTTTGATCTCGAGTCAGCACCCGTCCATTACTACACTCGTCTAACTCGATTCTCCTTGATTCTTTCTACTTTCCTTTTTCTTTCTTTCTTTTTCCGGGTGGGAGAGATGGGAGGGAGGAGATCAATAGACGACACACCATCTTCCCATTCCCGCACACCACGGCCACGAGACTCAGTTCCCGGACGCCGTTGGCCCTCGGGTCGTAGTTCACAAAGCCGGCATTGGTGCCTACGTTGCCGAGCACGACGTACGTGTGGATGAAGGCGTTCAGGCCCGACACACCCTTGTTGTACCCGGCGACGGTGTCTTCGAAGGAGGTATGGGCTTGCGTGTCGTCTGAGGAGCCGCTGATTTTCGAGTTAGGATGGGAGCTGGAAGGCGGGGGGGAAGGTTAAGGTGAAGAGGGAGAAGGAGAAGGAGAGAAGAGAAGGAGAGAAGAGAAGGAGAGAAGAGAAGGAGAGAACACATAGGTCGGGGTAAGTGTTGAGCTGATATGAGATGAGACAGACCAGCGGCCGTCGTTGCCAGGTCCGTTTTGGATGCCGTCGCAGTCGATATCCATATCCGCCAACGCGCCACCCGTGCCTTGCAGGTAGATGACGCCGTAGTCGTTCAGATGAGTACCGCAGTAAGAAAAGGCTGTTTTTGTCGTTAGCTCTGTTCTTCTCCCTCTCCCTCTCCCTCCCTCTCCCTCCATTCCATTCTCTACCCCTCTCCACACTAACCCCCCTCCCACATCCCTCTTCCATACTACCCTTTCCCAACATCTCCATCTCACCCATCCCACCCACACTCCAATCTCCAAGCCGCCATACCAAAGCCCTCGAAATGGAAAGGCTAAAAAAAAAAAAAAAAACAACCAAGAGCCAAGAGAGAAAGACAGACCGACGTACTATTCGGCGGATCATCTTTCGCGTAGAAGCCCGTCTTGAGGATATTCTGGCACGTCCCAGTACTCTTCACGCTGTTGTAGAAACTCTGGACGTTGGCTGGGACGCTGCGGGCTGCGATCCGTGAGGCGAGCAGTAGCGCTGTGAGGAGGAAGGCGAGGAAGGGGGTGTGCATGGCGAGTGATTTTTGCTTGCTTGAGATGGACAGATAGATAGATGGAGCGTTTACGTGACGTGATGTGAAACGATACAATGTAATAGAGGTAAGGAGAGAAACTAGCTGGTTGGATGATAATGACAAGGAAACAAGAGACATCTCCGTATTCTTATTATACCAACCGACCGACCGACCTGCATACATACCTTCCCGCCTGCTCACTCGACTCAGCTTACTCTCGGAAAGATCAGCTGTCCACCTCGCCTCTAGAGATGTCTCTTTCCCCCTTCCCCTACCGCGACAGTAGTAATCAATTCAAGTACGACGTCAAACGGGCAAGCAGTGCGTGCATCGTCGCACACACAGGCGAGATCTCCAGATTAGCGCTGCTTGCTGACAGCTTGCTGACAATATCTCCCGAAGAAGATTCAATACTCCGCAAAAGCAGTCAGCGGTCATCACGCTCGGTACAACACAAGGGCTCTACCCAGATCCAGACGCAGATCCAGACACCATGCATGCAGCAGCAGAAGATGGTCTGGTCAGCCCACATAACATACGAAAGGCACTACCTGCCGGCCTTCGTACGAGTGTAATACTCCCCCCGCCCCCTCTTCTCGTGTAACGTCGTGTAACGAGAATAACGGGATGGATATATCAGACATCAGAGTTCAGGGGCTTGGGACGAGTACGAGTACAACTCTGTGTAACTAACTAACTAATCACAACAACGATTTTCCTTTCAAGTTTGTGTGTGTGTGTGAGAGAGAGAGAGAGAGAGAGAGAGAGAGAGAGAGAAGAGAAGAAG